AAATCAAAAACATATCATCACTTTTCCACCACACATTCTCACATCAATCACTATTCCAAAATTTCTATTCTCCTCAAAATTAGATTCAATCACATCAAAATGGAATTTAGCCCCAGTTTGGTAGAAACTAAAATTAGATTTTTAGTAGATTTTGAATAAAAGTTGATGAAATATATAGTTGAAAAATTGTAAATCCTATGAAATATGTATTTAAAATTACTTGTTGACTTTTACTTAGATTTTAATCAAATATTTTAACAGTATCAAATAGGTGCTTAATGAATTTATCGCCTATTTTGTTAAATTATTCAATATTGTAGATGCATAAATTTGTCTTTACCAAAGGAGAGGTCAAGTATTTCAAAAATGTTACGAGCTTAATTTTAATTTTTAAGAAAGTTATTTTTATTAATACTTTTATTTAGCACTTCCTTTGAAATAAAATAATTTTTTTGTTATACTCATTTTCAAATATATATTCACAAAATAAAATATTTTACATATAAACCCAATTTTTTTAATCATACATTCTTTAAAAAATTACTATTCAAAGCATCATTTTTACACAATAATGGTCATCAAATAGGTGCTTAATTCGCATCAAGACACAACTTCAATATAATAATTCAGAAAAAAAATTTGGAAAAAGAGAAATAACGACTTTGACACAGACTCATTAATTTCAACTCAAAGCATCAAATTGAGAAAGAAAAATAATTTCAAGCACATTATAAAATACAAGCTGTATCAGTTCAATAGGTTGTGCAAAGTGAGTAAGAAAAACTATATACTTTTGTAAAATTTTACAATATTGAATTTATCTGTTCAATATTTTCAATACTTTTGTAAAATTACTGTGAGCTTTGTTAAGTTACAGTCATGTTGTAATTTTGTTAAGCTTTCAAGAAAATAAATCAACGTGACTTGGAAGTTGTGTGGTTCTTAATTCAAAGGAGAAAAGGTTTTGTGTCAAATTGAACAACCAAATTATCATAGGGGAAATTGTAGCGTTAGTCCAAATCATATATACTTGGTAGCAAATAGGTCCTCATTCTATTTCTTTTAACATTCACATTCTCGATGTACCATTTCTGATGCGCTATAGTTCTTAATTCACGAATTCCGTTTAATTAACAGTTAATTTTTGCAATACCGCCTACCTGTTGAGGTACTTATGAAATTTGTAACAATTGTTACAATCCTAACATTCTTAACATCATTTCAAACTTTTATTGCGAAAATCATTTTATTCGTTTGTTGTCGTTTATTTGACCAGTAAAAAAATAAGACCATATTCTTTTTGTCGTTTTCCAGCCATTTTCTGTTTTTAATTTCTCAAAAGTCAAAACAACGAAAACACGTTCTTTATCTTATTTTCGAAAACGCGTTTT